CTAACGATTATAAAAAACAAAACAAACCGTTCATAATATCCCATAAATGTTTTAGCATCATTAATAAAATTCTTTAAAGTTCAATAAACTAATAGTCGAAAACATTTTAATATCTAGAAATTATCTTACTCTGTTGATTCTCTTAAGAGCCATATCGATATTGAATAATACGAATTAAAAAAAATTGAAACGTTTGATTACACCAACCTGTGGTTGACATGTTTTTATTATACTTTTTTCACTATTAGTTAGGTCATATTTAGAAACAATAACTATGTAAATGGCAGGCTGGTAACCAGTTGTCGTGATACAATGATTAAAATGAAAAATGAAAAACAAAGTGCTCCGGAGAAGTACCCCGCTACAACATTCTCACACATTCGGCGCTTAGGATATGACAATGAAATATACAGTATATATTATATTAAGATAAGAATAGTAAATGAATTTCCGAAATTATTTCTCTTTTTTTTTGACTATATATAATCATAATTTATACTTTCATGTACAAAATATAAATTTCCTATTTTTATTATTTATGCATATAAACAAAATATATGCTTTAGAATTCTGATTATGCGCTGATTATGCGCTATGAATAAATAATTTACATTCTAATGCATAATATGATTTACCGATCCTATGAGCTTGCTTTAAAACGTAGCAAGTTATCATTATTACATACAAAGTTAAAATGCTTACGTACGTACGTATGAAGTAAGTTTTTGAATACGCAGCAATTTAATCTATGTCAATTTTGACTCAAAACCTGTTTTTAAAACAAAATAATGAGAGTGGCTTTTAGTTTATACTAAAAAAGAAATTTATGCATTAACTAATCCGGTTTAACTATTTGCTTTGTTTTTTGCTTTTAACCATTTATAACGATAAGACACAGGGTTATCGATATGTATGCCAAGGTCAAGTTAAAACTAGGTTTCCGTGATACATTTTCGTAAATAGTTAGTAAACTAGAACATTCTATAAAGTAATATATATTAATAATAAATTAGATCTGCAAACTAAATAACTCTATTTTATTCCGATGATGTATATGTAGTTAAAATATATTAATATAAATTGGTCGATTAAATAACTGAAGATTTAAATTCTATAATCCAAACTTGAAATAGAACAAAAAAAAATAAGTTTAAGCCATAATCCGGCCGGGAAATAAGAAAATATATATATTATTTAAATATAAATATACATACATATATTAATAATATATCAATACACTAAAAACGCCCATTTTAGAAAAAAAAACCTTTTGCTCAAGATTTTGCCACAAGTCATTCCACGATAATATACACCTTCAAAATAACCAGGATTATCCAGAAAAATCATCTATTTAATCTTGAATGTCAAAAACAATGTGTAAAATAAAGGGTTCGCTCTAAAGCAGTACATAAAAGCTATGTTAAGTGGATAGCAGATAGCAAAGGATAAAGTTAGTTATACCGAATTATCCAGGATATAACTATTGCATATAATTTCGCGATTATTTTTACTATAGGTATTGCCAGCCAATTTCGGACACCCATAATGATAAATTATCAATTTACAAGTATTTAAAAGTATTATAAAAGTAGGTAAATTCATTCAAAATTGACCGGCAAAACCGATAATTCTTTCGTATCTTTCAGAGTGAACCACCCCCCTTAATTATCATATTTATCGAATGTTAAAAAAGTATAATCTTTGCATTAATCAAGGGTATAAATTTAATCAATTAGCCAATTTAATCAAATGGGTAACATCCCAGGATAGAAATCGACCGGGGTAAATTAACTATCCAAAGAACAAAAATGAAAAAGTACTGTAAAGAATAGCATTAAATCGTTATTCTAAATGCACCATACAGAGACCAAACTTTTACAGCATACATTTAGAGGATGATAAAAAGGTGAATTTATAAAGGTCAAGTATATAATTGGACCAGAATTTAAGAGTGCATTTAGAAAAGTTTCATTGCGGCAAGAAAAAATTATGATTGCGATTCTCTCTAGTGTATAAAAAAAAATTGAATGTTACACGGGAATCAGACATGCATTTTCGTGTAACATTTCGTGCGTAACGGGTGAAAAATGTATCCCGTGCCGAATCTAAATGCAATTTCCGTCAGCAAAGATTCTATATACGTAGTCGGTGTTTCAACTGCATTTATATTTTCAGTAACCGAATCGATAAGTTATTGAGTCAGAATAAATAAGTTGCCGATATTAGTCGATGTCAAAAACTTATCGCTTCGGTCATTTTTTAAGTGGTTCAGAATTTATAGAAACAGCTGTAATACAGATCTAATAATTTCATACGTAAAACCCCGATGGTCTCTTTATATAAATTAACAGTCTCTGCAATATTCGCGTAACATTTTTGTAGCATTTATTCTATACTTTATAGTCCGTAATATGATAACGGGCTCTAATGCTAGTTGTATTTAAATACATATTACAACTCTGCGGATGACCGACTTTTGTTACTATTTGGATACTCATTCAATAATGCTTTTTATTTATTATATTTTCTTGATTTTTGTTAGTTTCATTTTAAACATGATTTTGTTTTGTAAGTATAGTTTCATTTTAAATTTAATTTGTTTTAATATAGTTTTATTGGGAAGTTTCAAGAACAAGGGATCAAGTGATATATCTTCATGATCATCATAACACATGATCAAGCACTCAGCCTAAGTTAAACTGTAAACTGATGTGGGCAAATTTGCCTGCAAAAATTTATCCAATAATCGCGCATATTTACCGCGTTAAAATCGTGTTTAAATGGTCTAATTAATCATGGATGTACCGTTTAGAACTTGTCGGATATATGTTTTTTTAATCTCATTATTAGTTTAATCCGGCAAGTATAAATAACACACCTGATAACATCACGTAATTTATATGTACGCGACTTTTACAGGGATTATTTCACCAAACTGAAGATAACATAAAGACAAAGCGCCATTGAAAATGGTTAAATGTAGTACTATGCAAGTAGTATGCCCAGTATTCATATTACTGAGGTTGACATAATGATTTACGTAAGTTGTACTAGCAACAACAATTATGATCAAAAATTTGCAAGCAAATTTGCCTGCAAAGCGGTTTAAGAGATAACCTTGCGTAGTAGTTTCATGTAATTTGTAATTCACATGACATGCTAAATTTTCGGTGGTACATATCAGATCAAATATTCAAATGATGCAATAGCGTGACGGGCCTCGATTAAAATTTCGATTAAAAATATAAACTTTACTAACCTTTACATATTGTATTACCGCGAAATAACGTGATTTAGAAAATCCGTACTTTTTTAAAATAGCATAAATGATTTCATACAAGAGGACCAAATTTCTGGGTCGGGTCCATAGGATTTAGGCGGCGTGTAGCAATACAAGTCAACCATGTTTGGGCCAAAATTATCAGTTAGGCAACTTTACTTAATGAGTGTGCTATGACTTAATTATTGTTGCAGATCATAATGAAATCAGATCATTGTGAAATTTAGGGGTCTCAATTTAAAGATATAAGCTCTACCAAAATCCACCTATACTCTTTTCCTAATAATTCTAACCCTAAACCCTAACTTAACTATAAAAAAAAACCTAACTAAAAAGGTCCCAAAAATTTTTAAAAATCGTACATAAAATAAGTTAAATTTCATTATGATCTGATTTCATCTGCCACAATTATTAAAACTTTTAGTGATCTTGGGAAAAATTAGTTAATTCCGGTCCTGCCGATCATGACTCCGTGGTATTCTGGCCCGGAAATCTGGGACTTCCTTGTACGAGTTTTCCCCATGCGCGTCAACTGTTACGAAAAATATCGGCATAGAATTTATGACTACATTTTACGTAATAATTTCTTAGCCTATTTGTTCTAATGGAACAAGTACAGTCTAACCTCCCTATAATCACACCCCTCGGGATAAAGATATGTGTGATTGTAAAGAGAATTTTACTAAGATGTGCTTATAAAGAGGATTTTTTCTATATGTTTATAATAGTTGGTTTTAAAATAAAATGTGCTTATAAAGAGAATTTTTATATGATGTGCTTATATAGAGGGTGACTATAGGGAGGTTTGACTGTATATATAGGGTTATTCTTTGTAAATAGTTGGAGGTTCTTCTTTTGCTCAATTGGAATAGAGAATAGGTTAATTAGTATTTTAGAGGATTCTTTGTGTACCGGGTACACTTTTGGGAAGATACTTACTTGTATCGGTTACGTTTTTAGTACTTTTATTGTCTTGTATATGAGTGTCGCTAAAAGAAAACCCGAAAATTTAAATATAAATCATATTTAAATTTTCGGGTTTTCTTTTAGCGACACTCATATAGTAATAAAATAATTGGTTTCCTATTTTTAATGCTTACGACAAACAGTTAAATTGGCAGCACAATAGTAAAGTCTCTCCCTTGTCATAACACAACTCATGCGGGGAGATCCTTGGGTTTCCGAGTCGGAATACCTCGGAAACATGGTCGGCAGGGTCGGAATTGGCTAATTTTGTCCAAGATCATAATGATAAGTTTACTAATGAAGTCATAGCCCACTCATTAATCAGCTGATAATTTTAGTATTAGCCCAGAAACGGTTGACTTGTATTGCTAAATGCCGCCTAAATCAGATGGTTCCGACTCGGAAATTTGGGAACTCCTGTGAAAATTTTAGCCCATGTGAGCACGCCAACATTGAAGTGAGAAATTTTTATGCAATAGGAACTAATTCAGAGATCCTACTTCCAATAGTGTAACAAATAGGTTAAATACAGTATGCAAAGTCACAATACGGAACATGCAAAACTACCTCATGAAAGTTAGAATAAACCCCAAATTTTGGATCATATCTCCATTGTTTACATAATAGGTTTGGGCTGTTTTTTGGTTATTTTTTTTTTTTGACATAAATAAATCTGACAATAATATTTCGAATCGACCCTCATCGTTAAAGAAAACGCATTTAAAAATTTAACGATAGAAAATTAATTCAAAACATGGCCTCTCCAATTGACGATATTTTTTTAGAAATAGAAACTTTAATTGAATTGCAGCTCCAAGATAACATTCAGAACCATTCGGAAGTAGAACAAAAATTCAAGGATGTTTTTATACTAATTAATGATATCGAGGTTGATGACGAGAGCCAACATGGGTTATATAGATATAAATATCACACCAAATATAACAGCTACTTAAAAACGATTGGTAATATGGAAAGTGCTAATAAACAAGAAAAATTGGCAAAAAAATTCGAAAAATACTCGAATACTTATTCCGAAAAAATGCCATTCAAAATATTGCTTGAAGATGTTATCGTTAATCAAGACTGTAATCGTAAAGATGAGAAAGTAGAAGAAGTCAACAAACTATTAAAGAATGAAAACGTTGAGGAAATCAACAAACTATTAAAGAATGAGAAAGTCGAGGAAGTCAATGAACAATTAAAGAATGAGGAAGTCGACGAACCATTAAAGAATGAGAAAGTCGAGGAAATCAACAAACCATTAAAGAATGAGAAAGTCGAGGAAGTCAACAAACCATTAAAGAATGAGAAAGTCGAGGAAGTCAACGAACCATTAAAGAATGAGAAAGTCGAGGAAGTCAACAAACCATTAAAGAATGAGAAAGTCGAGGAAGTCAACCAACCATTAAAAAATAAGAAAGTCGAGGAAGTTAACAAACAATTAAAAAATGAGAAAGTTGAAGAGGTCAACAAGCTATTAAAGAAATTCGACGAACTTTTAAAAAGTACGAGTAAAATTTTAGTAGACGAATTAACTGAAACTGATTTAGCGAATAAATTTATTGCTGAAATAGAACAAATTTTCGAAAAACTTAATAGAGTAATTACGACCTTTGAAGGCTACGGTGAAACCATAAAATATGAGAATTATTTGTGTAAATTAGCTGATAATTTAATCAATGAAAAGTTGATCATTCTGGAAGCTTCCGAGACTTCGGATAATAGCATTGGTGTAGGCAAACTTAACCACAAACCTTCAAAAGTGAAAAATATTAGTACAGAGTTGATAGATTGTCTGAGAAGTCTAAAATTATTGGCACGTGGTATGGCATATTTGAAAAGAACAGAATTTATTTCGTTTGTATCGAATTCTTCAAATAAAAGAGAGTTATTATTTGGAAACGTTATAAATACAGAAGAGGAGATTAATAAACGTGCTAGAGTTTTTGGATCATATTTTCATCCAGATAGAACTAAAAACCCATGTTGCCCATTGGGGCTTCAAGGAGTATATAAAAGTCAAGGTGATGAGTTATTTAAACTAATTTTCGGATTCAAAGAGCATTTATTGAATAAGTTGAAAAATAGGTGTGCCTCAGAATTCGAGGATGGCATAAGTGACTACGAAAAATACGGAAATGACCTTTGGAAAATTACGATGGATTATCATAATGCGTCAAAAGGGCAATGGAGTAAGCTAAGAGTGTTAAAGGAAGATGATATGAAGGAGCTTTCTGATGAAGAGTTAAGGGAAAAAAGCACGTATATGGGAGACTTAGCCTATCATCAATATCGAGCGGCATGCAAAATTGCGGATAAAAATAAATCATTAAAAAGACAAGTAAAATTACGTGAATATATGGCATTATGCCAATACTTTGTAAAAAACTTTCTAACAGCTCAGCTATATGCTTTGGCGGCAATTCATTTGCAAATTCAGAATCAGAATAATTTTACATTACAGGAACTAAATGAAGCAGAAAAAATATTTGAAAAAGTTAAGGGGAAAGGAGGAGAGAAAGAAAAGGAGAAAGAGTGTGTGTCGCCCGATTTACTTGATTCGAGTACTGATATTGAGTTAAATAGTGAATTCAATAATGCGATGGTTTTAATAAGAGAAAAAGACCAAGTGATCTCCTTTAATGACATAAGGATTATTCGGAATTCAATCAATAAAGATTTAGAAAGTATGGCATCTAAATTATTGGTTGGAGCGGATCGTAGTATGGTTCGTTATCAATCATCATACAAGGAAATTTTGCGTACAAGAAAGCATGCAAAAATGTATATGGCTAAAGGAAGTCTAGCTATGGGATGTGGTGGAGTAGGAGGAGCAACAGCGGTCGTAGGTGCCGGTGTAAAGATTTTTTATGCAGTATTCGTAACTGGAATTACGCCTATAGGTGGTCCACTTTTACTCATTGCTGGAGCAGCTTCGATTGCTCTTGGAATATATAGCGGTTGTAGTTTGTTTAAAAAAGGACAAAATCTGTTAAAAGAGCCAAAAGTTCGAGAAAGGCTCAATGGAATAATAAATAAGGCATTAATCGCCTATGATGAAGGAAAATATCAGGAGTTCATCAATGCACTTTCCGAAGAATATGATGAAAATAATCACATAAGCCTCATAATAAGCTGCAATAAAATTAAAGGAGTAGAATATATAGTGAAGAAGCTTATAGAGAATGGTTTTAGATCAGATGGTATTGCATATCTACTTGTTTTGCTTGGGGGGTATTATGTAGCGGAAAAATAAAAGTAAATGGCACATATGCCGATATTAAAGCAAAAGCAAAGAGTTGTTTTGAAGAGGCGCTAAGTGATGAACTTGTTGAGGAGGCAAGAAAGTTAGATGACTGTACTAGCGAGTTAAGAAAAACAAGTAAAGGTGATTTTAAGAGATTTTTTAAAAGTACTTATGGTAAAGTTGTAGATTCAATATTCTCGAGAGAGAATACAAGATTGGCTCTAGAGTACGTAGAAGACACTCTAAAAATGCCGTTCTATTCAAGACTAGAAGAAATACGTAACATTGCAAGGATTAATATTGTAATACTGAATATAACAGAATATTCAATGAGTGCAATTGAAGAAGCCACCAAAATCATTAAGGAGATTCGAGAATCGACAGTAAAAAATTATCATTTCGTTAGCGAAGCTGAAGTACGCTTAGAAGTCTTGGAGGATTTCATGTGGATAGCTAGTGGAGAGAATTTACCTGATAAATCTTTTACAACATTTCCTGCAATATTACCCGCTGCAACGCAATTGGCTCAGGAGTCGAATGACAATTATATTAATTACTTGGACAATCAACTGTCTTTTAATCAGGAAAAAAAGCTTTACTATGATAAAGCAATTTATTTTCAGCATAAGGCCGAAAAAGCAGCTAAAACTAACAAGTTAGACAGTTTACGTTATTGGCAACGTGCTCAAGAAAGTTATGAAACAGCACGTGAGATGGATCCTGGCAATCCGAATTATTCACTTTATTCACTTGGATTTGCAAGATGCTTACTAAACTTATCTAAATACACACAAGTTATCGATCTTTCTGATGTATGCCCCGTATTAAATTCTTCACCTGAATACTGGCACTATCGAAGTATAGCTTATTTTAAGCATAAAAAGTATAAAGAAGTTATAATTTGCAATGCTGAGGCATTGAAACTAGATCCTAAAAGCAATTTTCCCGATAAATATAAAAAACTTGCCAAAAAATTTGATACAAAAAACATGATCGAAAACCGTATTAACAACTATAAAGGAGAATTAACATATGAAATGGATTATGAAAAAAATTCACATAGTGATGTGTGTCCTGATTATAATATTTTGTCAATTGATGGTGGAGGAATACGCGGAGTATTACCTGCTTTATTGCTTAATGAGATAGAATATCGCACTCATAGACCCATTTCTCACCTATTTAATATGATAGCAGGAACATCAACTGGTGGGATAATTGCAGCTGGATTATCAGCACCACAATTTAGAATAAATGATTATAATGAATACAAATATTCGGATTTAAGACCGATATTTTCAGCTTCGGAACTATTGAATATTTACAAAAATGATTTAGAAAAATTATTCACTAAAGGGTGGAGCTTCTTCAACATGACCGATAAATATACGAATGAAGGTCGTTCTACTATGTTTACAAAATATTTCGATAAAACAAGATTATCCCATTCACTTACTGAATTGGTTATCCCTGCTACATATGAAAATTACTCGACAAAATCTCCTTTATTTACTCGCTATGATGCTCGTGAAAATAAAGCAAACGACACTTTTGTTGATGCATTAATGGCTACAACAGCTGCGCCTACTTTTTTCCCGCCTCATAAATCAAGAATAAAGGTACTTTTTTGGATGGAGGAATATATCTCAATAACCCAGCATTAATTGCTTATGAAGAAGCGATACGATATAAAGTTGCAAATACAAAAATATCGGTACTTTCTCTAGGCACAGGATGTTATATACCAGATCCTTCAATGCCTGATCAATATAGAGATTTACTTTTTTGGACACAAAATCGTCCTACGATTTCTGTACAAGAAGTTGATACAGATCGTCCTACGATTTCTGTACAAGAATTTGATACAGATTGTGAAATGTGCAGTAGGTTAGGAAATCTCTATCAACGATGGCAAATCTTTTTTAAAGAACCGATAGGGTTCGATGATTATAAAAGTATTCCTAATCTTTTGGAATTAGGCTATCAATATATAGAAGAGCTTGATTTTTCAGATGAAAATCCCATCAACAAGTTAGTGGAGTCTTTTGAGTACAAGCACTATTTCTGAATTTTTTTGTAATTCATGTTATTTGTGAAAATTTTAAATAAAAGGTAGTAACGTATTAGGTATTTTAAGCATTGTTTACATTTATGGACTAAATCTGATGGATGAAGGTAAAATCTTGACTACTTGAATTGCTATGTATGAATTCATATGTGTGGTGATTTTATTTAAGGTTTAATAAATTAGAATTTGTGTACCGGTAATTGTAGCTTTGAATATGATATTCCAGAACCGATTTCTATTTTCAAAAAAGTGTTTTTATTATCTAAAAAACAATAATTTTTAAAAAGACCTTTAAACTATTGCAAAAGTCTAGGGATCCTCGGGGTTTTAAAAGGCAGTGCTTCGAAATTTTTCGATTTTCTTTGCATGTAAATTCTTTTATTTTTTCTATTATACTAGGTAGTATTTAGATATGTACGATATGTACGGGTTTGAGACCCCGGATTTTGGTTTGAAACCCCGGATTTGGGTTTGAAACCCAGATCTGGGTTCGGTACCCTAGATCCAGGTTTGACACCCCAGCCTTGCGATTCAAAATGTATAAATATGGCGCTCAACCTAATAAAATCTCTTTCCCACTTTGACTTGATAATAATGACCCTTTGGCTTCGATCTTGGAAATAAGTAACCTGTAACGACCTAATACGAACCTAAAGTAACCCAAATACGTAACATGACTTGCATTCGATAACCAGTACATAAGCGAGACACCAACCCGTAACCACCTACATTCGTATACCGAGTATAGTTTGTAGTAGAATTCATTTGGTAAATTAATACGGTTATGGCATGTGCCATATTATTTGCGGTAATTTCTTTGAGCTGTAATGCTGTAACTGTAATTCCGTAATGGCGTAATCGTAATGCAGTAACTGTAATGCCGTTATCAGTTATGTCTAAATACCATAATGCCATGGTTGGGCCGGAGCAAATTTAATTAATCAGAAATTCGATCATTATAAACATTGGCAATTTATTGCATTGAATAAAGCATCAATTAGTAGTTTATTGTGTTAAGTAAAATGAAAAAACGTAAAAGAATATATACGCCTGAACAAAAGACTGCAAGAAATAATGCTAGGATAATAGATTAGCTTCTATGATACCTAAAGAACAGTTATATTATCGAAACTCACTCGGATAATATGTACCATCAGACAAAATTGTTTAAATTTGTTAAGGTTAGGGTTAGGGTCAGGGTTATGAGCAGGGACTGTCAAAAATTTGGCAAAAATTTATTTGGGTATCACCTAATATTTGGATAAAATTTGGTTATTTACCCCTACTCAATTTTGTTGTATCGTTGTGGTCGTGTATGTGACGGTTTTTTGCGATTTATGGCTTGCAGTGCTTTATTCTTTGATGTGAGATCGTCAAGATAATTTCCTCGTAATTGTGATCTACACCTGCCATTTTTATAGTAATATATGGTACTAGATGTTATTGTTAGATCGTTCTGGTACAGTTCGTTCATTCTAGTACGAGTACTAAGTACTAGATGCAAACCTTCGCTTGCTGTATATGCTGGATGTGGTAAATCTGGATTTGTAAATTTGCATTTTATCTGTTTTTTTGTATTTTAAATAAGATTTGTTTGTCAAATTTTTCGATTGTTTGTTTTTTTGTGTCGTGTTTTTTGCCAGGTAGATGATTTGATAATCGTTGATTGTCAAAGACCAAAAAGAAAGTTCATGACGAAAGGATTTGATTTTTTTTTTTTTTTTTTTGGCAAAAGATCGTGTTTAGTACTCGTGAGTGTAGTACGTAGCTGATAAAATATGTTTATAACTGGTATTAAACTTATCGACATGACATAGTTAGTGTTAACCTTATAATATGTTATTGCACATTTTATTATTTAATATAAATATTATTGCTATCAAACTGATTATACTTTAAGAGTAGAGTGTAATTTATTGTTGTAGTATTAGGTAGTACAGATCTTCAATCAGGCATTCTAGAACATAGTGGAAATTTGTTCATTGGTTAATCAAAGTCTAATCACATTGAAGATTTGACGTGGGTTAATTGGTACCCTTGGAATTCGTAGTGCCGGGAATAGGATCGGGTTCGTGTAACATGATCTGTTGCATGAATGGCGTGATCGTCGAATCAGTGAATGCATGAAATTAATTTAGTAATAGGATAATGCGTGTAACCGGATAATTATTTATCCGATGATAATCTTGTATTATAAATTGGTTCGATCTAATAAAGCGAGGGAGGGAGTTTTTAGTTAGTATAAGCAAGAAACGGTTCTAAGTGAACAAGTGACCAAAACAATCGTGTACATATCTAAGAAGGTGGAAGATCTGGTACGATATACCAGTCAAGTAAAACTCAAGCAAAGCGAACAATCTCTTAGTGAGATCAGACCCAAAATCGGTAAAGTGGGATTTGTACACGACAAGATTTCAAGACATTTTTGTCTAAGTTTAGTAAATGTTCAAGTATAACTTATATTACATTTTTACAAATTGGTTGTAGTTCTCTACAAAGTGCATATAATGGTATTTACTGGTTAGCATTGTACTGATTTATATTAATTAGCAACCCTATTTTATACTATTTATTACATAAAGTCTTTACCATTCAATTATATGGTACAGTATTAGTTTTTTTTAAATATGCAATTTCATTTATTATTCTTAATAACAGTTAAAAGTTTTAATAGTGACAACTATTTTATTACCCTCACACCTAGTAAGACCATTTCTGCAAAGCTGCCCATGATTTTGCTTCTTCTTCCAGGCTAACAATAGTACTTAAGGTCAAATAGAACATATTCACTCTGGGCTTCTGTAGAAGGAGTTCTTGTTATACTAAACCTTTTACTGCCAAATCATATAAAATAATTTGAGCTATGAATTGCATATTTAACTTTGATTTCTTATTTTTTTTGTTCTTATTATAATATTCTAATTGATCATATCCTTTATCTCATACTCTAATAGTATTTGCACAATTAAAAACAGAAACAATATCTTCAGGAATTATTTGATGTTTAAATTGGGTTGTAAGTGTTTTCACTATAACATTTCTAATACTTCATTTTGTGTATAATAATTATTACAGAGATTACAAGGCTTTAATGTCGAGTTTAAATTTCACTTATTATAGTTCCAAAGTGCATATACTCAACAATTAGATTTGGTTTTGCAAAAATATATTATTTCAAACAATTTTTTTGTTCTTGTTGCAAATATTGTTGATATATATGTGCCTCAGGATTATTTTCCTCAGTAATGCTAAATGTAAGTATGAAAACTAGCATTAAACTTAGTTATGACTTTATTATATATTAATACTACTTGTCTTTCTTTATTCCTTGCAATTATACAGTAATTAGATTGTAAATTATATAATATAAAAAAAAACAATTTTAGCAGTAAGACCATCTCATCCAGCACATTCAGATTGTTGAATTAAATTTGCTAAATTGAGTTTAAGTATCAATTTTTTTAATTACAAAAGTAATACATACATATACTTGTTAGAAAAGTATAATGAATTACTAAGCATACATTAGAAGTATTAATTCTATACCAAATGCTATTGTTGCAATTATTATTTATGTAGTTTTATGATTTCATCTTTTTAATACTCAATTCTTATCTTCTAAAGCTATTTTTTTAAAAAATATTCTATACTTTTATTTTCCAATCTTTTTCACAATTCCTCTAGCATTTCTTGACATTCCTCTCAATGCATACAATAAATTGTTACTCTGTCTTCTTGAATTTCAGTAATTAATAGTTTAATCTCATCAAAAGCTTTACTATTTCTTTTGTATTTTTTCTTGACCTTATAAATTAACTCATTTCTCATTTAATTGTTGGTATAAACATAGATAAAATTATTTTCTGAGTATATATAAGTTTTATCTTATTAGATTCATTTCTTTAAAAGTTTAAATAGCTGTAAACATCATAATAGATATCTCAGAATAAGAATCTTTTAAATAAATAGTTATTAATATGACTTTCTAAATTTATAAACAAATTTTAACACCTTTTATAATATGCTTAGTAGGTATGCAAATATATTATATAAATATTGATTTTATTATATCTAAAATTTGTATAATCTAATACACAATATACTTCATCAATTGCAAATTTCACTTTTCAATCTTGATACAGACAAGTTAAAAATACTTAAAAAGATTTGTTTAACATTAACTTCTCTAGTATTACAAATAAAATTTTTGTAAAACCCATTGCAATTTCATGAAAAATTTTTTCTTCATGATTTAAAGTTCTAATTGATAAAGCATAAATTTTTCTATAAGGTATTTTAGCATATAGAAGGTTAGTTTAAGGGTAGAGTGAAATGATCTACATTTCAATAGTGATCACGTTACTAAAATTTTTTACAATAACATTTAATTAAAATCAGGTGATG